TGATTTTAAAGATGAAAGCCTAAGTGGCTTAATGAGAAACACCCCGCCCGCCTGCTGAGTCTTTCATTCAGTAATGTTACTGTAGATTTAGGCTTTAAAGATGCTAAGATGTTTGTTTTTACCTCCAGCCTGTTTCTTCAGTCGTCTCGTGTCGCTGCCTTGAAGGCAGCTGCTCCAGCTGCAGCACCATGGTGGACATCAGGGTGAAAAGCGGAGCAGCCTGGGCCTGTCAGAGTCAGGGAGGTCAGCTGGCGGACGTCCTTCTTCCTGTTCATCTGAGCAACACAGAAGATGATGAAGACGACCTCAGTCAGTCTGACAGAGATGCCGATGAGTAAGTTTTCTAAATGGACGTTGTTCGTATCAGGATCTGTTATTTCCAGCAGAGCAGAGATGACCCATGTTCTGACGTCTGCTCTGTCTCTTGCAGAGCCACTGCGGTGCTGCTGGAGCAGCAGGAGGAAGGCTCTCCCTGCATCCTCGCTCTCAGCTGCAGCTCCTCTGCCTCCATCAGCAGCCTGATGGTGATCAGTGAAGCTCGAACCATGGAGGTCTACAACCAGCAGGAGGAGTACTGTGGGACGGTGCGGGGCACGAAGGTCCAGAGCCTTCAGTGGGACAGGTACAGGAAGCCACAAAATGGATCATATTTTCATGTATTTACTCAAAGTGAAGGAGATCAATGACACGTTGTTCCCTTAAACCTGACCTCTGACCTCTGACCTGCTCAGCTGGAGGAGGTTGGGAAGAATGTTGCATTCTGCTGCAGGCCAGTCAGAACCAACACTGCAAAAACCATTTAGAAATAAATAAAAAGGTCTTAAATTTAGTTTATTTACCCCTAATTTGAGCAGATGATTTGCCAATGGAGTATATTTACATTTAAAATAAGATGATGAAATAATATGCTCTTCAAATAAGACAATGCAATTAGTTTTTCTTATTTTAAATGTAAATTTTCTGTTTTCATATGCAAAATGTCTCACTTCTCAATTCAGTAAAAATGCACTTTTAGATTTCTAGTTTTTGAGATTGGAGCACGGTGGAGGGTGCATCATGCTGTGGGAACCTGTAGCAGACTGATGTCCTTCCTGCAGTCTGAACCATCGGCTCCTCTGAGGAGACCAATCTTTTATTCAGTAACTGCAGAAATCAACTCTGATTATTTAGCGACTTTAACAGATTTTAATTCTGATTTTAACCAAATTTTTATGTCTAACCATCCTGAAAAGATTGAGTTTTTAATGTTGGTAACGATCGCTGCATGCGCTCCAGCGTTACCATCCATGTTTGCTTCAGAGCACGCTGGCTTGTGACGTCATTGCGTCCTCTAAAGCGCATGCGGGACACTTAAGCTGTACGAAAGCAGTTCACACAGCAGATCGCATACAAGTCGCAGATATTTGGAGTAGTGAACAGCGACGCAAAACATAAGTCCCACAGCGTGAACGTAGCCTAGCCACCTGCATGGTTGTGCGTCTGACGGCGCCCCTGCCTGTTGGTCATCTGCTGAGGGTTTCTGTGTCCCGCAGGCCGGACAGAGGCCCGTTCTACAGGAAGCAGCTGCTGCTTCAGGATCCGTCAGCAGGATGTGAGGCGAAGGTGAGACACGGACCCTGAAAACGGCTCCATTCAGGAGGATTTGGGTTCTGATGGGTTCCTGTTCCGTTTCCTCTCAGCTGCTCTCCTTGGCGGGTAGAAGCAGCGTTCTGGTCTGTCGGGTGGTGGTGGGTCTGCAGGAGGCGGCGCCCGCTGCGGCCGGCGGTCCGGGGATCGACCTGCAGCAGGTGCAGAGTCTGGTGGAGGAGATGGGGACCAGCTTGTCTCCTGGAGCTCAGAACCTCATGGACATGGTGCGGTTCCAGCAGAAGGTGGGAGGAGCTTCCCTAAAGAACCAGTAGGAGGTTCTGGTCTCTGACTGGGTTTCAAAGATGGTCTCGTCCTCCAGAATCAGAGCGGCTCTCTGGGCGCCTTCCTGCCGCTGCTGATGGGCGGTGGAGCTCTCTCGGCGTTGGTCGGAGGAGTTGGAACGACTGCAGCCGCTGCCAGGAGCCCCCCCCACGCTGCCGACGCCACGGTAACGGATTCATCCCTCACACTGGGCCTGAACCAGTGCAGCAGTTTCATGCTACTTCACTGGTTCTGTTGAAAATCTATGTGCATCAAATACAATAAAGTAGATTTAGTTTCTTTACATTTATTTTATTTATAATAAATCAGCCAAACTTCATTTTATTGGAGATAAATTCTATTAAATCCATTTATTTTGGCAGGAAGACGTTTTTCAGTTTGCTGAAGAATGAAATCTTTTTTCTTTGGACGTGTTTCCAGCCTCCAGAGCCCAGCAGGTCTGCAGACCGGACTCCGTCTCAGAACGGAGGGACGTCAGAGGGCTCCACCTCCCCAGACCTGTCCCTGTCAGACACCAGCTGCAGTCAGACCAGTAAGCGTCTCCGGATGCTGAGCCCGCCGCCGCCGCAGGCCTCAGCATCCTTCCTGCTTCCTACCAGTGTCAGCAGCTCCTGGAACCGATGTGTCTTTCATCCATAGTGAGCAGTGAAAGCGGGGGGCCGGTGAACCCCGCCCAGCTGGAGGAGATGATGTCCCACTTCCTGAAAGGGCGGGGCCAAGGGCAGGCGCTGAGCCCCGACCTTCTGCCCCTGCTGCAGAGCGTCTGTGGACAGGTCACACAGCTTCGCCTGGACAACGCTGAGGCGGCGCTGGACAGGGAGCGGAACAGGTGGGCGGAGTCTGCTGTGAAACATCCGGTAGCGTTCAGTGAGAAAACGATGCGGCGGAAGCTGAACGCTGAGCTGAAGCTGCTGCGTTTTTAACTCTAACGTCAAACATGTCGACTGAAGCCGGTTGGATCTGAAATGGAGTCAATTCTTCTGCTTCTTGAGTTTATTTTCTGCTTTTATGGGAGAAAACCTTAAACGCTGTAAGATTAAGCAGGAAGTGCTGGTAGCGCTCCAAGATGGCTGCCATGATGGGCTGCCATGATGGGCCAGCGGTCTGGTTGGAGCAGGTTTGATCCCCTGAACTAAACCAGGAGGACTGGTTTGGTTTCCAGTCAGCAGAGCCGATCAGTGAGCCGATGTGAAAAGGCTCAGACTGAGCAGCGGTCCTGCTGGGTCCGATGGAAGCAGCAGGACCGCCGCTCTTTGAATGGCTCCCTTTGTGAGGCGAGCTGCGTGGGGGGGGGGGGCTGAGAGGTCAGCTGGGTGTGACTCCATGTTTGCAGAGAAAGGCAGCTCCACGGTACGTCTTCCCGTCGAAGAATAACAAACTGTTTACAGCTTTAAGCTTCTGCTGGTTGATTATTTATTCACTGTCTGGTGAGATTTCCAGTTTGCTGCAGGAAGTCGGTGAGTGAAACAGTTTGACTCCACTGAGACTCTCAGCTGGTTGAACGTTTCTGTCTGATGGAGAAATAATGAAGCTATTAAAGGAAAAGTTCAGTCAGCAGGAATAATTAATGGATCATTATCTTTACCTAAAGCTAATACTTTCACTGTGATTTCATTCATTTAGTGTTAATCAGTTAAAAAATGAAAATAATCAT